TATTTTTAAGCATGTGGAGGATAGGAAAGTCATTGGGAATAGGCAACTAGGTTATACCAAGGGCAAATTACACCTGCTTCAGCCTAACTGCCTTCTTTGAAGTTGCTGGCTATGTAGATGCAGGGAGAATGGCAAATGTAATATAACTTGCCTTTTGTTAGGCCTTTGATACAGTCTCTTTGTTCAGATCTGGTGGAGGTCGAGGCTGGAAGAATGGACTGCTCTGGAGGTAGGTCATGCCCACAGTGAGCAAAGCAAACTGCGTTGGACTACATTAGGAGGAGCATGGCCAGCAGACTGAGGGTGGCACCTTCGGTCTAGGACCTTTTGGGGTCCTAGTTGAAAAGAGGTGGTCTAGTAGAAGGCCACTTTGGTGGGCTGTGACCTAGAGCGCGCAGCTTGAGGAAAGCCTGAGGAAGGTTGCGTGGGCTGGCAAAGAGGAGCTTAATGGATAATCTAGTAGCAGCCTACAACTACTTGAAAAGTAGTTACAAAGATAATACAGCCAAACTGTTTTCAGTGATGTCAATTGATACAACAGCCATGAGCTTGTGGGGTTGAATGTTTGAAAAAGCTTTTTCACTAGGAGGGTGGTGCAGCATTTCCCCAGAAATGTGGCATCTCCATCCTTAGAGGTTTTCAACACTTGGCTAGACAAAGTCATGCTGACCTGAGCACATCAGCAGGATATATTGACAATACTTCCACTTAGTACTACCACTTCAAGCAGGAGGTTGGATTAGATAATGTCCAGAGGTTCCTTCCGAACAGCATTTCTACAATTGTTGCAGAAGAACCTCTTCGAAATTGACTGGCAATAAATTGCCACTCAAATGTAAGGCAGTACATGTTTGGGAGAAAGGAAGAAAGCAACATATAGGATGTCTGCTTGGACTGGATTTCTGCCTTCTTGAGCTAGAATGTGGAAGTATCATGAAGAGAAAACATAAATGCGTGTGTGTGTATATAAGTATAAAATAAATAGTAAGATGGAGACTAACATAGCAAGCTAAGGAAGCTGGTTTTCATGTTTGCTTCCTTTTCTTCATTCATAACTGCTGTTTTCCTGAGCAGATAAACAGTTTCAAAAATATATTTCAAAATGTAACACAAGATAGCTCTCTGGAACGGAAATAAAGCCTGTCAGGCTGCTGTAAATAATAACTACAGAACAAGGTGAGGTCCTATAGGCTGCAGAAGGGCTCATACTCTGGAGCTGGCCAGATTGCAAGTAGCAGGGAGCTACAAGAAATTGCCTATTGCTACAACTGTGTGAGAGGAGAGGTGCATGCGAAGGACAGATTCAGGAGCTCATAGAGTGAACCAGAGCTAGGGCTTGTATCTCTTAGGGACACCTATGGCTGAGGAGAGTCCTAATGGGCCTCTGCTGACCACCCATGACCGCCCAGCTGAGAGCACACCTGCAAAAGTTTGCCAGGCACAGAGGGGGAAGTGGCAGCAGGGGCTATCTGCACAGCTCTATGAAATCCTAATTCAACAACAGGAAAAGGTCAAGCAGGTCTGTTTGCTTCAAACCACAGGACCTTTGTACTGCTCCAAGGACCTAATCTGCTCTGATAGCTGGACGTAAATGGTGCTCAGGAAATGGGAGATGCCATCTGCAGGACTAAATATATCTCATTGTGATCAAAAAATGCTAAAAACAATAAAATTTAACATTTCGACATTCAAAGGAGACTCTGTGAGCAAATTTCCTGTCAGAAATGCCACAATGCAGAGGCAAGCAACTTAGATTTTGGAGGAAAATGTATTTTTTGGGGAAAGCGGAAGCCCTCTCGCGCAGGTAGCGCGCTGGCTTCTCGCGCAGCGTGAACTCTCGGTTCGGGCAGTGACGTGAGCTCGGCACTGGGTTGTCGCAGGACGTGTGCTCTGCACCGTGTTTGTACAGCTGGGGAAACTGGGTGAGAGAGGTGAGGATTTGCTACAACATAATTCAGGTTAGTACAGAAGAAGGCAATCTGTTAAGAACTTCTTATTTTATTGTCCTCCAGTCTCATAGCAGATCACATTCGCTGGCATGGAAATGTCAGTTCAGCATGGGTAGCGGTTACAAAAGTAAATAAAATGTTAGGCGTTATTTGGAAGGGAACAGAAAGTAAAATACAGAATAGCAGTTAGGTGTTATATAGCTGCGGGGGGGGGGGGGGGGGGGGGAAGGGTGGGGGGGG